TCTTCGACACAGAGTTTGTCAACCTCTACGACCACTTCAACATGTTCACGGGCAAGTTCTACTGCTACGTCCCCGGGATCTACTACTTCAGCCTCAATGTGCACACCTGGAACCAGAAGGAGACGTACCTGCACATCATGCGCAACGGGGCGGAGGTGGTGATCCTCTACGCCCAGGTGAGCGACCGCAGCATCATGCAGAGCCAGAGTGTCATGCTGGAGCTGCAGGAGCAGGACGAGGTCTGGGTGCGGCTCTACAAGGGTGAGCGCGAGAACGCCGTCTTCAACGACACTTACATCACCTTCAGCGGCCACCTCATCAAGTACAGCGGGGAACCCTGAGCACCCGCTCCCCTGCCCCTTGGATGGGTGTCCGAGGAGCTGCCGCAGCCCCCTCGCCCCAGGTGTGCCCCCCACCGTTAAGCCATTAACCCTGCCCTGTGCCACCACCCCAGCAGCTGTGTGAGTGTGTGAATGCTCTCCCCCAGCTCCTCGAGGCCGATCAGATGCACCTGGAGGGGCCAGAGCCATTTCCAGCCTCTGCTGCATTTGTGAGCAGGGGAGCAGCCGCTGGCCAGGCGGGCAGGGAGCTCACCACTCCCCTCCGCAATGCCTGCTGCAGTGCTGGGTTTGCTGGGGCGCAGGCGTTTGTGGTGCTGGCTGCGGGCCACCAGCCAAACAGGCTCAACGGCCAGTGCTCCGGTGTGAGGCAGTGCAGACATGTGCGCCGTGTCCCTCCCTTGCCCTGCTCGTGCTGTGCTGTCCTCTGCAGGCTCCTTCTCCTGGAAAAGGGTGGAGGGTGCTCAGCATCCAGCAGGAAAGGCAATAAAACCACTAAGGGCCCCTCCTTCCTCCTGCAGAGCCGGTCCCAGCAGCGCGAGGCTGCAGCACAATGCTGGTACCCTCTGCGCTCTCACTTCCCCTGTGCTCCCACATCAGTCCCCTCAGCAAGTCCCCATCACAGTCGCCCCCATCGCTCTGCCCGGTGCCGGCGCTGCTGCAGAGGGGCTGGCTCCCACCAGCAGCCCTGGGCACAGGGCCTTCAGCCTCAGCCGCTTCCTCCTCCGATATCTGCGGGCCAGGCTTTGTATTTTTGTAGCTCCAATATCAGGGCAGGCCTGGGGCAGCATGGCCCCTGCTCTCTGCACAGCTTGTGACCACATTAAACACCACGACTGCGACTCCTACCCACGCTTTCCATGCGTCCTCTTGCTTTGTGGAGGCTCCGAGTGGCTGGGGGCAGGTCCCCCCTCCAGGGGTGCAGGGGGTCCCCAGGAGCTGTGGGCTGGTGCAGCGCTGCCGAGCTGGTGGTGGGACGGGAAGGGAAGCACAGAGGGTCCCTGGAGAGCCAGGGAGACCTGGGCCGGGCTCTGCAAGGGCCGACTGCTCCCCAAGGACCTGGGAGCTGGGCGCAGCCCCGGCAGCCCGCGAGCAGGGCGAGCTGGGGTGGTGGCAGTCAGGTTTACCAAGAGTCTTTTTTTTTAGAGCCATGGGGATGAGGCAGGTCCGAGATCACGTTGGGAAGCTGGCAGATGGGGGCTGGATCGGTGGATCCACAGCTGGGTAGAGCAGGGCTGTGGCTGGAGACCAGCATCCCCCAGCAC